TTCTTTCCTTCCTCTCTTTCTCTCACCTTCCTACCTACCCTTTCTCTCTTCTTCCTTCCTTCCTCCTTCCCTTCCCCACCTTCTCCCTCCCTTCTTTCCTTCCTCTCTTTCTCTCACCTTCTTTCCTTTTCTCTCTTCTTCCTTCCTTCTTTCCTTACTCCTTCTCTCTCTCCTTCCTTCCCCTCCCACCTTCTCCCTCCCTCCCTCCCTCCTTTCTTTCCTTCCTCTTTTTCTCTCACCTTCAACCACAACAACGCAAAAGTTGTTCAGCTTCAACCATAACAACACAAGAGCAAACGATAGATACAAACTCAAGGTTAACCGCACCAAACTTGGTTGCAGGAAATACGACTTCAGCCACAGAGTGGTCAATGTCTGGAATACTCTACCTGACTCTGTGGTTTCTTCCCCAAACCCCAAAAACTTTAACCTTAGACTGTCTACTATTGACCTCACCCCTTTCCTAAGAGGTCTGCAAGGGGCGTGCATAAGCGCACCAACGTGCCTACCGTCCCTGTCCTATTGTTTCTTTTATTATTTTTCTTATATGTACCCATTTCATGTATTCATAACTATGTATATACTTACACCTATTATCTTGTAAGCAATTGACAAAAATAAATACAAATAAATCCAAATAAACACCTTCCTTCCTTCCCTTTCTCTCTTCTTTCTTCCTTCTCTCCCTCCCTCCTTCCTTCCCTTCCCCACCTCCCTCCCTCCTTTCTTTCCTTCCTCCCTCTCTTTCTCTCACCTTCCTTCCTTCTTCCGTACCTCCCTTCCTCCCTTTCCTTCCCCACTTCCCTTCCTCCTCCTCTCCTCTTTCTTTCCTTCCTCTCTCTCACCTTCCTTCCCTTTCTCTCTTCTTCCTTCCTTCCTTTCTCTCTCTCTCTCAAACACACTTTCTTTCTTCTTTCTTTCTTTGCTTTTCCCTTTCTCTTTCTTTCCCCTTCCCCCCACAATTTAACTCAATTATCCGTTGACATTTTTTATCTCTCTCTTTTAGGGTTAGGCGCGAACGGGTGTATGAAGCAATTAAAAAGTGTGCATGAATTTGGTGCTGTTGACATGTTGTGTGGAGGGTGTGAACGAGGAAGCCACAGATTGGTCACCTGTTCGTATGTTGTATGTTTGCTTGCGGCAGGGCCCAGACATGAGTCGGGGGAGGGGGGGAGTTGAGAAGGAAATTGCATCCCTTCTACACGGATACAATCCCAGATAAACGGAGGGCAAGCGAAAGAGACAAAGCGAATCCAGGGGGAAGCAGCGAATGTGCGAGCGCCGTAAGTCAAACTCGGGTTTTTCCGCATTTGCAAGTTCCAGGCTGAAACGTGGGAACTCGGTCAGTGGCGGGTCCGTGGATCAGTACTGCCGCTTGCCTTCCTGTGTGGCCACCTGCCTGCCCTCCAGTGTGGCCGATGAACAGGTAAGCTCGTGCCTTCTGACATCTGTCCGTCAGCCCCCGCGGGTGCTCACCGTTGTGCTAACCTGGTTTAATTTTGGCTATCGCCCGCTCCAAGGCTGAGGAGCGGTGGTGCGAATCAACCCGGTGGTAACAACCGGTCCAGGGAGTGCGCGCCCACAGAATTTAGAAAAGACCATTTTGAACCGTCAACCCATAAAATATTTCTCTGGTCTTTTTTAAAAAATTGCCAACAGAAAGGGAAGCGGTGCAGCAGCTTGCAAAACCGAAAGTGGATTCCACAAATGTTTTCAAAGATAGTCACTGGGTGACCGAAGTTTCTGCCTGGTTAGACAGCATGTAGTTAGTTTGGGAAGGAGAGCTGCCCCCTTAAGGGAATGCTTCATGGGAAATGTAGTTCATGCCTCTTGGGAGGATGTAATTCATGTCACGTGGTCATATCTGCCATCCTGATTGGTCACTGAATTGATCTCTGGTTGGGAAGGGGGAGTTTTGGGGGGCTTTCTTACCTGGACCCCAGCATCGTGCTGGAGTCTTCCTTTGCTATAACGCTATGGGATGAAGGTAACCATCTTTTCACACTATGGAGGCGACTGTTGAGGCAAAGATTGGACATTAGATGAATCTCAACATAATTGTGAGTTATGAGGATGTCTAATATAATCCAATAAAATTAACTTTGCATGGCAGCCTTTGTAGCGTTGGGCTGCTTGTCTCTATTCAGCCAGAAGACGGGAGACTTGAAAGTGGAAAGATGGTTAAGTGAAATGATGGTTACCTTCATCCCATAGCGATATGCCAAAGGAAGACTCCGGTGTGATGCTGGCGTCCAGGTAGGCAGAATTCTAACTGGAGAACATGATAGATGACTCTGAGCTATGGAGGTGTCCCATTGGAGGATATGAATTACAATACACTCAGAAAGTTGGAGGGAAAACCAGGGTCAAGGGTGACAATGAACGATGTATCTCAAGAGTCGGCTACACCCAGGCAGTGCCGGACATGTTAACTCCCAATAAATCATTTTTAAGTTTTGGAAGTTTGGCTCGAGACTCATGATTTAATTGGGGGGTAACTGCCGGAATCCTGACATAATATTTACCTTCTGCTGTAGCCCCGGTGAGTAAGACAGCTAATGCACAGCCAACTGTTCTGCTGTGTGAATCAGCTGTGCTCAAAAACAAGGAATTAAAGCACAGGAAAAGGCTAGTGATGGATGGACGGGGCCAAATCCTCACCAGAACAACCGGTTCGCCTAAACCAGTCCAAACCGGTAGAATCTCACCCCTGCTCAGGAGAGGATAAGCTACTCCTCGGCTTCTACGGCCCCAATTGAGCCCAACTTTCCCACTTAATGAGCATTTCCTCGACTTACGACCACAATGGAGGCCAGCCCTTCATGACTGCTTCTGTTGCTAAGTGAGACGGGTGTCCAACGGCCTCCATTTTGCGAACTTCGTTGGTAAGGGGATCGCAGCAGTCGTTCGATTCCACCTCGACGGCCCAGAGTCAGGTCGACCGCCTTCTTTCGAACCTGTGCCTTATCTGCTCTCTTCCCCAGGAAGGCCACCTCTCGGAGATCCACGCGGTCACCTTCAGTCCAAACTCGGGCCTGCTGGCCACGGGTGGCACGGACAGGCTGATTAAGCTTTGGAGTGTGGCTGGAGGTAAGCGGGTGACCAAAGGCATCAGGTGTCTCTTCGGAACAGCAGGCACCAATTCAGACAACACGGGTCAGGAACAAGCCAACGTAGGCAGAGTGGATGGAAGGGAATATTTGTAGCTCAAGGTTGAATTGTGGGGTCCTTGGTGCTCTCTGAGCTTGGTGGTTTCCTTGCAGACGTTTCATGACCCAGCTAGGCAACATTATCAGTGCTAGAAGGGAGGAGGAGGGGGAGGAGGAGAACTGTGGACACCTCTGAGCTTGGAGCTCCCCTTCTGCCCTGTCTGGTTGTTTTCAGGCTGCCTGGAGAAGAAGGAAACCTTCGACGGGTCCAGTGGCAGCATCACCAGCCTTGCCTTCGACCCCTTGGTGAGCACGCAGTCGGTTGGGTTGGAAAACTGGGCGAAGGAGAAGGAAGCCGGGTGCAGGTGGAGGGAGGATAAAGAGAGAGACAACAAGAGAGGAAGAAAAAAAGAAAGAACAAGACAGAAAGAGAGAGAGGGGGAGGGGAGAGGAAGGAATGAGAGGGAGGGAGGGAGGGAGGGAGGAAGGAAGGAGGAAGGGCAGAAATAAGGAAGGTGGGAGGAAGGGAGGGAAGAAAGGAAGAGAAGAGAAAAAGATAGGAAGGAAGGAAGGAAGGAAGGAAGGAAGGAAGGAAGGAAGGAAGGAAGGATAGAAGGAGGAAGG